TTAGAAGCACTGTCTGATGCGTCTGCCTCCGCGACCCGAAAGGAAAACGGCGATGGAAGATGAGGATGAAGGTATTACATTGTGGAACAGTACGCCTGGTTGGTTGGTTGGAAATCGATCCCCCCGCATCCACATCACATCGAAAAATTTTTTATCGATGCCGAAACTCGACAGAAGAGTTTTCATCGCTTCAACGCATCACCCAAATGCACGACCATCGAATGGTACAAATCTCATGTGTACTCCCATTTAATCGAACATCATCTACAGTAGCAACAGTACAAACCATTCCGAATTCTGATCGTTGACCATGACAGACTAACGCTATCTGGTTTGTTGTGCTCAACGAGAAATCTAGTTCAACACATCTGATTGGTTACGGTTACGTCATTTGTCTAACTCAGCCCTCCATCATCTCTCGCTTTATCGTTTGATGACTCATCACTTCAACAAGCAGCTCTTAGCCTAGTCGTTTCTTAACTCGGCTTTCAATCAACCTCGAAACGGATTCTTTCAGGAGGTCGAGTTTTCATCTAATCGAAGAATATGCATGTGCTACAAGATGGAAGCCTCTAAAGTGGTGTGCACTTCCGCGTCGAATATCTGATAATCGGCCAGGTCAACGCTGGCATATCAGGGCCGCGATATCACGTAGTGGATAACCGTAAACATTGATCTCGTGTCCAGCCAAGGTTACTCAAATTCATCCATCGACACGTTTCAAAATGGCTAAAACGATGAGGAAGTTGGCGTGGAGATCGGAAATGAGCCCACTTCATGACATTAAAGTATGTCCCCTTCCAGTGGGACATGTCCAGGGTGAAAAAACATAGTTGCCTTCTGCAGTTGTCTTCAGAAGGAGGGCAGATAAACGACAACGCAGTTATAAAATGGATCCTTTAGAAAGAACACAATTTACGGTTGTAGTGGATATCCGCGAAATCAGTAAATTTGACCTCCTCTGTCGCGAAATCTAAAACCATAACTATCAAGTAGTTCGAATGGACTTCAGCTACAATTCATCGAAAGTTTCTGGAAAGGAGACTTAGTTTATACTTCTACGTTCCATCGGATCCGGACATCGAGAAGAATTTAACCTATCCCAATTGTAGATGATTTGGCGATTCATGTTAGAGGGCACCAGACAAACCATGTTAAAACCTGTTTGTCAGTGCATTGCGCTACGTCAGTCATACGCTAAGTCAGTTTAACATATGGATATTAAGTTCATATTTTAAAACGTAACTTTGCCATTTGCAGCCACAAGCCCCGATGAAAAACAAGGATAGATGGGGATCGTTGCTAGGTTTCCCAGCTGACCCTCATAGTTTTGCCGTTAGCCAACAGTCGGGTTACCGAACATTCTGCAGGTTATTGGAAAACTGAGGCAGACTACCAATAATCAGTACTTGTTTATCTTCTCTGAGTTGCAGCACAGTGACGATTATCGAAGATCGAAAAAATATGAAGAAAACAGCCAGCAAGAGCCGACGAAGATACCAGTTAGCAACGGAGTCGCTACCCGTTCTGGACGGAGGAGGCAGACAGCGCGATGTCATTACAGCACGTCAGAAAAGGCTCCATGAGAACGACACCACCAGTAGGAGCTTCAAGTTGGAAATTCGGATATATCCTCACTTACACGGAAAGAGCAAGAGTTACTTGATGAGTCCACAAAGTACCAACTCGAAATTGTTTGACTTTCGTCATCGAGGCGCCAAAGCTCTGGAATACTGAACAGCAGCTGTTCTACTCAGGCATCGATATTACGACTCGCGCTCAGGCCGGTGTTGGCGTTCTGGTAGAACCCAACCTTGCCGATAGAATAATCGATTGGAAACCTGTC